ATGCATGAGCCCCAGGAGTGGGATTCTGGCAGATTTTGATTATGTGTGGCAAGCCTTGGGCCTCCCTATGAGAACAGTTCCTCCGCATTGGATAAGACCAAGCAGTGTGTGGCAGGCCTTATGCACATGGAGCATATTGCAGTTCATTGGATTCTGCAGAGGACAGCTGGAACCACAGCAGGGGAAGAAGAACAAAAACCCTACATCTTTTCCACCCTGATCAGTTATGTACATATATCAAAAGTAAAAATCTAAAAGCTGAAAAAGAAGTAATAGTAATCAGTAACTACCCAGTAGCAGCCTTCACCATCGTTGAATCTCTCAGAGGGTGCTCCACCTCTGACCCTCGCCATCCATTTTAATGTTTCTGTTGGGCAGGAGAGAAAGAGGGGATGGCTATCCTTAATTGTTGCTTTGTTTGATTTATTAAATTCACAGTCATTACTTAAAAAAATATATTTACTGAAAAAGAGTAGGCCCTGTTGAGTGATGCCAATTTAAGAGTTCAGAGTTCTATTTCTCATCTCAGTTTTTCCACTTCTCATTTGATTCCCAGAGGAGTTTCCTGCCACCTGTATGGTTTTCCTTGGTGTCATTCCAGGTCCCTAGCCGCATCTTAGACAAACCATAGACTGTGTAGTTTTTGAGTACTGAAGCATGGATGGTTGCACACACTCCCTTCTGTCTCTCAGCATGGATTAAACAATAAGCTTATTTCTTATTTCTCTCTTAACTTGTCTCTCTGTCACCTTCTCAGGACACTCACGTGTCTAATAGCAGATCATGGCACATCACACTATTAAACATTGTTCATATTCTGCTCTGTCTTTACAGTGACTCCTGTCAATGGACACAGTATTGTCAGTCAATCTTTGCTGACCAAATGCACATGTGGATTGTTGTGTGCAATGGACATTGTATTTTCAAAGATAGACTCCTTATGACTAAAGTCAGAGATGACCTTCCAATTGAAAGAGCAACATGTTCTATCTTGCATGGAATCACCGGAGAAGGTTAGGTTTTGTTCATTTGAGTGGCAGAGAGACAGGATGATAGAAATCTCTCACCAACTGGGTCACTCCTCAGTTCCTGGGGTCCGTACAGTGAGTATGGAGGACATGAAGTTGTGTGGAGAACTGTCCCACTGCAGGTAGAGCCACAAGCAATTTCCCTCTGCATGGCTGGACCCAGCAGATATCTTTACAAGCCAGTTGAAGGCCGTTCCACCTTCCTTGCATGGATGTTGATTGTCTCACCAGAGAATGGCTCATTAAAGTACCTATGGGTTCTTTATCAGGCTGTCCTGAATCCAGACCAGTCCACACACCTGCTGTTGGATACTGTGACTTTGCATGGATTGATTCACCCTGACCTCTGCATTTCAATCACCAATGGGAGCTCTAGCCTGGCAAGGGAGTCCCAACAGTTTCCCTAATAGGCCTGTTACCATTGCTGGATCTTGTGTGTGTTGGCAGGTGCTTCAATCAACCCGTCCTGGTACATGCACATTCTGAGCTCTTGTAGGTGTGTGTTGCACCCCAGCCCACCTGGGCACAGCACACATCCTTTCCAGGTTCTCTTGTGTGAGAAAGTAATTGCTCAGGTTTGGTCCTACCTGGCTGCCTTCATTTTTGGCCCACAGAAATGCTGATATGTGCTACAGACTTGCCTGTACAAGCCCACCCCCAAAGCCAACTCTCATGTTCCACATAGGGAATTGCAGACTTGGAGGAGAGTTCTACAAGTTCTGTCTGTTCCCAGCCCTGGATCTCACACATGCCAGCGGGGGCAGTGGCCCAGCCTGGTACAAACTGCCTTCAGTCCTGGGCCTTGCGTGTATTGTCCCCAGTTTGTCTCCTCACAGTCCCGGCTCCCATGAGTGTCAGGTAAGTTATGGTCAGATGAGATTGTGGTCCAGCCTGACTTGGCCTGTCACCACTTCCAGTTCTCCATATTGCCAGCTAGTGTTGTTGTTCCATGAAAGTGAGACTACAGATATCCTAGAGAATCTACACCCAAATCCAGTTCTTATTCATTCTGATGGGTGCTGTTGCCATGAAGTTCAAGGAGCATGTGTAATTGTTATGCTAATTAAGGTTCCATCAACAGGCATCCGAAATATATAAACAGAGAAACAATGCAATGCAATTATCTTTCACTTGCAGTAGTAACAGAGGTATTAAGCACTAACAAATATAAAACTAGACAGTGTAAAGACTAAGCAAGCTCTGCTTTGTCCTCTGATAAATTCATGTCAGTATCTGACCTTGAGCCTGAGACATGAGTCACTGACACTGCTCAGCCTCAACACTGTGGGTTCCACTATCATTTATGCAACAACAGTCTTTTCAGAGCCCTCTTCATGTCTGTGTTCCTCAGGCTGTAGATGAAGGGGTTCAGCATGGGGGTGACCACGGTGTACATCACTGAGGCTGCTGCAGTTGAGGCTGATCTTGGGGCAGTGCTGGCACTGAGGTACACACCTAGTCCTTTACCATAACATCGGGAGATGGCAGAGAGGTGAGAGGCACAGGTGGAAAAGGCTTCATTCTTTCCCTGAGCTGAGGAGATTGCACGGATGGAGAAGATGATCTTGGTGTAGGAGTACAGGATCTCAGCTGGGGGACCAACTAAAACCAGCACAGCTGCAAGATACATCATGAGGTCATTGATAATGGTGTCAAAACAGGCTCTGTGGACCACATGATTTATCTCACAGAAGAAGTGGGGGATTTCCATGTATTCTTCAGAAGCTAAGTCTCAGAACCAGTAAGCTGTGCACCAGTGAATCTAAGGCAACTAAGACCCAGCACACCAGAACCAGCTGCACACAGCTGATGTTTAGTGCTGCCCTAAGCCTGTGATTCATGCATTGTAGTTCATATTTTAGCAATAACAGAATGATTTAATATATATTTCAAAATAATTAGTGGTATACATTTCTCAGTACTTACATATGATAATATTTAGGGTGACAGAAATGCATTTATCTTGATTGATTTTTACACATTTTTCACACATATTAATTATGTTATATACCTTAAAAAGTTGAAATATTTTCTGTTATTCAAAGTAAATTAATGTAAAACAAACAAACAAAAATAACACCAAAGTAAATTTTTATATGATCCAAGGGTTTTATTTGAAAATATTAAAAAAATATAAAATGTATTTCCTGGATCAAAATGAACAGAACAATTCACATGTTCCCTGAAAGCAAACATTGCGGCCTTCTTCATTGAGTTATATTGAAGCTACACACAACAGAGCAAACAAGTTGTGTGATTTATGGCTGAATTCCTCAGGTGAAAATTCATATTTATGAAGCTGGAACAAATAGAATAAAACTTACTAATTGTTCTTTGCACTTAGACAAAGTTAAACTCTTACAACTCTAGTCATACATTGGACACACAGCAAGGGCATCTCAGAGGGTTCATGTACAATTGAAATTTGTTGGCAGTTTTCTGGGGGGCTGCATTGTGACTTTGCCCTCCCCAGTTAGTGCCCCAATTCAAATCCCAGCTGCTTTGCCTGTGCATAGAAGGCTATCAGAATTCAAACTAATACCTTGAGTCCTCTGCACCCCATGCGGGAGGCATAGGTGGAATTCATGGTTCTGTGTTCAGCCCTCTACAGGGCTTTTACCATGTCTGTCACTCACCCTTGAATTTGTCAACTTGCAAAGGCACAACTTGCATGCAATGATCAATTCAAAAGAGGGCATTTGGCCTAATTGGTGACTAGAACCCCAACTATGGCATCTTCACATTTGTCTGTGCTGTAGCATCTGGATTTTTCATGCAGCTGTGTGTGTGTGTTCTGTGCTCTGTCCACATGTGTGCCCACATCCATACCTGTAAGTGGTAGTGTATTTGATGTGACCTAGAACTATATTGAGTTGGGATTAATTGAACATTCATCATTTACATCAACAAATGGTTTTTCCAAGTACAAACTCTTTAGTCAACAAGTCTTGTTTGATGTCTTTGTTTAGCCCTAAGTAGTGATGTGTTCTGCTCAGGAGAGCATTCCCATATTTAACTTTGGGGTTCTTGTGCAGGTGGAGAAGATAACCACCTGCTGCTAAAGCAGATCCAAGGGAAACTGCAAAAAGTGACTTGTAACCAGGATGGCTCAAAAACTCACACAACCTCCATGAGCAACTCAAGTGTAATAATTAAGGAGTAAATTATGGGAATTTAAGTGACATGACGACTCAGAAGTGACTCTTCTCTGGGTACACCAAAAGAATCATTCCTGTGTATTCATTTTACAGCTGCAATGACTTTGTTCTTGGTCTGATACCAGAACCCTGTCCATAATGTATGTTCAAAGCAGAAAATAAAATATAAACATGTCCACCAAGAACAAAATTGTCCACCAAAAACAAAGATACTGCTGGGTGTGTTTGCTGTGTCTATGATGGACACTAGCCCAGGGAACTGAAAATGAAACTGCAACCTAAATACAAGTGTAAGATCCAGTGAGAAAGCACACATTCAAATATTTAATCCCATAATCAGAGAAGAATTTATATTAGGAAGTCAAGTAAATGATGTACATAAGGTGGAAAAACTGAGTTCTCAGAGGCTCCTGTCCTATAGATTATATGAATGACATAGTTATTACAGAGGGTCCAACTTTGGACTCCACAAGATGATTATTTCTCAGTAAAAATAAGAGTCATTCAATATCATATGTCAGCCAGAAGAGTTTATTAGAAAATCCTTTATTATTTTCTGAGACTTTGGGAATTGGCACATGTTATAGGTGCAATCAAAGGAAAAAAAATGAAAATATCCACAAGAAGGCTGTTAAATACAAAGAACAGCAAAAACCAAAAAAAAAAAAAAATGAGATGGTTAAAATTATAGAGGGTGGGGGGTAAAAGCAAAGCAGTGGGAACTGCAGTACACAGGCAGAAGGAACAAGTTCTATTCTCACAATCTGATCTTAGAGTAAGATTTCTTGAAACTGAGACATTGATCTCCGGAGTTTTAGTGCATTTTTAGCCACAGACATTGTGCTGTACATAATTTCCAACCCAAAAATCTTTTCAGAGCCCTCTTGATGTCTGCATTCCTCAGACTGTAGATGAAGGGGTTCAGCATGGGGGTGACCACAGTGTACATCACCGAGGCTGCCGAAATTGAACTTGGGTTTTGAGAAACAGCAGAACTAAGGTAAACACCTAACCCTGTGCAATAGAATAAGGAGACGACAGAGAGGTGAGAGGCACAGGTGGAAAAGGCTTTATTCTTGCCCTCAGCTGATGAAATGGCACGGATGGAGGAGACGATCTTAGAATAGGAGTACAGGATCCCGGCCAGGGGAATTCCACCCAGCAGCATTGACACAATATAAATCATAAGATCATTAAGAAAAGTGTCAGAGCAGGCACTGTGGATCACCTGACTCAGTTCACAGAAAAAGTGAGGGATTTCCATGTGCAGGCAGAAGGACAGTCGCAAAACCATTAAGCTTTGCAAAAAGGCGTGGAGGACACTGATGATCCAACATATCAGGACCAACCGCACACAGAACCAGGGGTTCATGATGACTGTGTAGTGGAGGGGGTGGCAGATGGCCACAAACCGGTCATAAGCCATCACAGCCAAGAGAACATCATCCAACACAGAGAGCAATATGAAGAAGAACATCTGTGTGAGGCAGCCTGCATAGCTGATGTTTTGGCTCTGTGTCTGGATGTTCACCAGCATCTTGGGGACAGTGGTGGAGGTGAAGCAGATGTCCACCAAGGACAGGTTGACGAGGAAGAAGTACATGGGTGTGTGGAGTTGGGGCTCAGAGAGTATGACCAGAACGATGAGCAGGTTTCCGCTTACAGTGATCATGTACATGGAGAGGAAGAGCCCAAAGATGAAGGGCTGCAGTGCAGGGTCCTCTGAGAATCCCAGGAGAAGGAATTCTGAAAACTGGGTCTTATTTGCTCCTCTCATATATTTGATGTAACTAGAAAAATAAAATAAAATAAAATAAAATAAAATAAAATAAAATAAAATAAAATAAAATAAAATAAAATAAAATAAAATAAAAAGAACACGTCACAAGTCCTTTTTTCTCACCTGGCATGAATTTTCTATTTCTATGCTTAGTTGGGAATTCAGTGTTTTTATTTGTGTCTATCTCTGCCAAACTAATTAGGAATCTTTTTTCCCCCCCTCATATTTGCACTTTGTCCTGGAAGTTGTGTTCTCTTACTTCTGGGAGAAATCCAGTGAAAATTGACCATGGTCCAAGCATATGTAATGAACAAATGAATAGGACTGTATAACAATCCACTTGATCCAGACACCATGGAGAACAAATTATCAGGGCTCTCAGGCATTTTAAGAATAATACTCAAAATATATACTTACTTTGGAGGCAAAAAACTGAAAGCCATATTTAATCATTTAACAACATGTATTCCTCATGAGACTTCTTGTGATCCCTTTATGTATGTAGATTTCCTTATCTGTTCACACTGTAATAAACTGAATTAAATTTCAGGGGTCTGCTCTGTGGTGTAGCAGGATGAATTGCTTCCTGCAATGCCAAGATTTTCTGTGGGTAACAGGTTAGTCTCCAGCCACTCAGCTCCGGATACAAACTTGTGCAAAGCAGCCAAAAATGACCCACTGTATCCCTGCGAGAGACCCAGATAAAGCACCCGGCTCCTGATTCCAGATAGGTTCATGAATACAGTAAGCCAGGAGATGCAAGATTTTTCTCTCTTCAACTGTGACTCTGATTTTCAAACACATACATCAATTGTGAAAACCTTAAGTATTGGTTCCATTGTCCAGAGAATATTTGAATTGTCTAGGTGCTCTCCATGGCAAGAAAATGATATACAATAAAGAAATGAAGTGAAAAGGAGAGAGCATGGAATGGATGAATTTTTCTTCAGGATGCCTACACTGCCATTGAGACAGACCTCAAAAACAATGAAGACACCTGGCTGGTTGAACTCCACACTCCTCCCCCTCCACACACTGTCCCAGGGAAGCTGTCAGCTTCAGCTTCTCTTTGTGGTATTGTCATGTTCTTCTTTCTGTCTAAGATCATCGTACAATAAGCAAAAACACTAAGTGTGTATCAGTAAGAAAGAGAATAGACTCATTGTGGCAAAATCCCCTGAATACAGGTGAATCTTGAGGGACCCACAGGGAACAGATGCTTACTTGGTCACAGCCAGGACTGAATTTCGTGGCACACACTTCACAGAGATCCAAAGTAGTAAAACAAGGTGACTCTGAGGGAAAAAAAAATATTATCATCCTGAGAATAAAACCTTCACAGCATGAAAGAATCTATCAAGAACACAAAAGGCAAAAACAGACTGAAAGACTCACAAAATGCAGACTTCTTAAAGATAAAATAGAAGACAAAATGATTGTGTCTGTTCCATGTTTATTTAGTCTTGCTATGCAGGGGGCTGTCTGCTTTCTCACTTTGCTTGGGTGCCACCTTTCCTTTGCTGGTTCTAGCTTTTACAATTATTCTCATCTGTCACAAGTCTACCAAATTACAATGAAAACAATGGTCCCAGGTAATAATCTTCCCAGGGCACTTCCAGATGCACCACTACCCCATTGTCCTCTGTTGGCACTGTTATACATAAAGATCCAAATGAGCAGGACTGCTCCTGCCATGAGAAGTGTCCATTTCCACAAAGAGATATGAACCAATGTGCATTACAGAGAGAACCATCATGAAGATGCTGAGACATTATGTGAGAAACTGCAGCAGGGGACTGAGATCAGGTGAAATGATGTGGTGACAAAATATAAAACAAGACAATTCAAAGGAGTTACATCCTTACATAAAATTGTTTCTCAATGATCAATACTTAATCAATTCCAATTGCATTACTAATTAAATTAATAAGACCTAGAGATGAGATCATTTCATGTGTAACCGAGATGTAAAACCGAAATGTATCATTTGAGCTTCTCTAAAGATACACAGATCAAGTGTTTATGAAGGCCATTTATGCCGAAATGACAATGCAGAATGCCTCCTATTTTGTTTCTTACACAATAGCACACATTACTGAATACACAACTGTGAATCCCACCGATATGACAATGATGTGGAAACACATAGAAATGGCAATGTACTGACTCAAGTGCAGAGGAAATATGTGGGGATTTTAAGAGCAGTGGGGCCGCATAACTGGAATGATAGATAGACCACCACATAAGGTGCATACATCTTCATACAAGCCCATAGACACATCTGTCCAGAGAGAGAACTGGAAGCTAGATAGCAGAGATGGGGAAAACTCCAATCCTTTCATTATGAAGCATGGAATACATTAAGCAGGGATAACAACACTATGACTTCACGGTGCAGAAGCAAATACCTTGACAAAACAGTGAAGTAAATGATGGACAAGATCACAAATACATTGAGAGACAGGCAGTGACCGCAATAAAGTTCATCAGTGTGTTCCTTTATGCATATGAAACAGTGGTTTTATTCTGAAGATCTGGTCCCAGGGAAGATGACTGTAGAATGTGTACCTCGTGCACTGCTGGTACAGTGTCGGTGAGCACTCCTTCATCTCATTCTTTCCTCCTAATCTGAAATAATACTGAGACATGCTAGTGTTCAAATACTGTCTGCCACCCTGTGTACACAAGAACTGGTTCCTTTATACCCCACCACTGCAAAGATGTTGGACCTAGGTGCCTCACAGCACAAATGTTTTTCTTCCTCAAGCTAGGTTCCATGACCATCTTTTTAATGTTACTCATCCCCTCACCTTGCTGAATTTAGGAATACTCTCTTCCTTTCCCAATACACAAGCACTTTAAAGAATTCATCGCTCCAGCAGAAAAACACACACCATGTTCTCTCAGCGTCTGGATGGCTAGGGTATTCCCCAGGTAAGCCTTCTAGTTCCCTGTTTGCCTGAACATTTTATGCACCACCTGCAGACCCCTTGGGATCTCCTGGATGGGATCAATGGTAACAAAGCCCACCTGGCTGGTTTTTGCAGGCGAGGGAGGCTTTAGCTCCAAACAAGACAGCTGGAAGCAGCGCTGCATTCCTCTCCAGGTCTCCCTAACTTCCCTGACTCTTAGAAGCTTATCTGCTCATGCTCATGGTAGCACAATCTGAGAGGCAGGAGCTGGGTAGATGTTTATAGCTCCCTGGTACTTCTCTCTTGGGCACAGTTTCCTCTGGTTTCTTCAAGCCCTCATCTTATTGTTTCCCTATGGGACTGTGCTTGGTCTACATGGAAAATTTTGCCTAGATCCATGGTGACATGACCTAGCTGGAGTTCCTCTGGTTCTCCACCTAGAATTTAAGAAAGTAAGACAAGGCTGGCATAGCACTACAGTTAAAATAATGATGTCATTAACCAGCCCAGAATGCCCACCAATTCTTTTTATCTGTGCACTGTAGTATTTACCCAGGACAAGACAGCTTAGGCACTAGTGCTCCATGTCTGACACATTGTCCTTGTAATGTGCCTGAGAATGTGGTTGAAGATGGCTTGCAGTGGAAGGGTTTGGGCCTCTGCCAAAAATGTGGTTTGAATTGGTCTCATTTCAACTGTTTTGAGCGCTTAGTACATAGGAAATCTCACACATATTGTCTCTATCTTGCTCTAATTATTTCTCTCTCGCTCTTACAAATAAAAACTAAATAGAGCTAAATAGATATTTAACACAAGCAAGTTAATCCTAGTTAGAAAATATGTATTTTGAAAATCTATGTGTAGTTTTGTTTTTGTTTTTCTTTAGATTTTTTTCCCTTTAGGTTTACACATTTTCCTCAAAGTTTGGCATGCTGTACTTCAAATCTTTTGACTTTTTTTTGTTGTTGTTAAGGAAACAGAGACAAAAATAAAAATACCAAACTAATACTAGACTATGTAAAAAGTCCTCTAAAGTAATAACAGGAATCTAAAACTGAAATATGATAGTTAATTTAGTTAATTGCCAAAATAAAGGAAAACAACTGTCAAGGAAGAAATGCTTTACTTATTTTGTGTTATATATATTTTAAAGATTTATTCTTATTATTTTATTGGAAAGGCGGATATACAGAGAGGAGAGACAGAGAGGAAGATCTTCCCTCTGATGACTCACTCCCCAAATGAGCGCAATGGCCAATACTACGCCGATCCGAAGTCAGGAGCCTCTTCCGGGTCTCCCACGCGGGTGCAGGGTCCCAAAGCTTTGGGCCGTCCTTGACTGCTTTCCCGGGCCACAGGCAGGGAGCTGGAAGGGAAGCGGGGCTGCCGGGATAGAATCGGCGCACATATGGGATACTGGGCGTGCAAGGCGAGGACCTTAACCACTGCACCACCGCGCCGGGCCCTTATTTTGTGTTATATTTTTAAAGAAAATAAAATACAAAGAGACAAAAGAGTGACAGAAAGAGGGAGAGCTTTTCCACCAACTTGCTCACTCCCAATAGGTCATGACAGCCGGAGCCGGACGTGCATGAAAACACTTGGTCTCCGCACCCTTGCTTCCTTGAAAGTACAGTGGCCTTCCCAATGCATGCCCTTCAGGACTCACTACTCTCCTGGATATGAATCCTGAAGTCCCTTCACAGCCTCACTTGTGCCTTACCCCATACCCCATGTAAGCCCATATGTCAAGTCCCCAAGTGTGGCATCACTGGGCAGCCCAAGGGCTTCAACCAGCATCATTGGCAACAAGGTCACCCAATCTGGAGTCAACTCTGCCACCACTGGGTGAGTAGAGGCAAGAGCACCCTGTGCAGGCCCCTTGAAGTTTCCTGCTGCCCCTGTCAGGCATGAGGGAGAGAGGTTACTCTAGGCAGACTTAATCTGTTGTCTCTTCTGCCTCTGCTGGATGAGCGGAGGTGCTTGAGATGCATGCCTCCTAAAGTTGCCCACTGCTCCTTTGGAGCACCTGGAATCAAGGTGATTCCTCACAAAGTTTCTATCCTAGCACCAAGGAGAGCAACA